GGGAATGCCGTCGGCCACCTCTTGGTGCGGAGATTTGCCAACGGTGGGGGCAGGAGAAAGAGAGTGTGAGGGGGGGAGAGAGTCAGGGTTGTCTACGCTTGGGGTTGACGACCAGGGTGATGACCGCGTTCATAGGAATGCAGTTATGCGCTTGTCGCAGTGGGTAAGGTTAGGTTAGGTTAGGTTAAAAATTCAATACATTTCCTTTCACTGTCAGAGGTGCATAACTACATTCCCTTGAATACAGTCAGCATCCTGCTGGTTTGTCCACCCCTAGCAGAAGCCACTCTCACGGTCACGTGTAATCTCTCTATCTCTCCCCCTCCCCCAACCGATGACAAATCTCCGTAGTATCAGGAATTATAGGAAATATATACAAAGTCAAACTTAGATCAATTCTCTTTCCGAAAAGACGTACACAATCACTATACAAGAGGTAGGGATAAAATAGATATATTGCAGCACAGATTGGCAAAAACCAAACATTCACATAAATTAAATTGTATAATGTTTTTTAATAAGCTGCCTGAAGAAGCAAAATTCATCAGTTCATCTTACTTACAGTAGTTACATAAACTATAAACTACAGTAACTACTTACAGTAGTTACTTACAGTTAGTTTCTTACAGTATTTTTAAAAATAAACTGTATGACTGGATTGTTAAAAATCCCTTTTACAAAATTGATGAGTTTTTAAGTTGTGAAATAAATATTAGATTTTGAAGAGTAAGTTGAAATAAAGCTTTTATTTTCATGTAAGTGGCTATTTAAATTTAGATATTTTGTACTGTAAACACTGAATCACCTTGTAACTATGTATAACAATGACGTGTCCTATTTCTTTTATAAAGATCAATGGAAATAAATATTTCTTATTCTTATTCTTATTCTTAATTCGCGGATGGGGAATTTCTACCTGTTACTAGTGGTTTTCATGTAATTTGAGGTCAAAGATTTTAGATGGCCGCCATTTTGAAACGGCTATAGTCAACAAAATTAAATTTTGCATGTTTGTGTACCACGTTAAAATACATAAGTGTGTCAAATTTAAAGTTTTTACCTCGATTCAAACTCGAGTTGTAAGGTTATTTATAAAAAACACATACAGACAGACAGACGGTAAACGAGGTTCCGGCGACCCATGTTTATAATGTAAAATATTCATGTATTAACCCAAGGAATAATCCTGTGAATTTTTTCGAGAGAGTTCACAAACACCCTGTATACAGCTATTTTGTTTATGTAAAAAATCTATATTAAATACATTGCATGCAAATATTGTATAATTATATATTCTGTGATAATATGTGTTATGTTTATTTACTCACATGATAATACTGGTATAATTTATAAATGATAGTTTTCTAAATAATTACTAACACCATTGGATTTTTTAATTTGCGTTGTAATAAGATTTTTTTATAATATTTGAAAGTCTACATCAGATAATATTACAAGTTAAGTTACCTTATTTGGAGGTGTAGGTCTAGACTAGACCCTGTACCCGCGTGTAGTAATGATAGTTTGCATGGCCATGCGTTTCATCGTTTTTTATTTGTGTTTATACGTTTGTGTGACTACGTGTTTTTTAGGACTTTTGACGACCTCCACCGAGTGATAGATTCTACGTCTAGCTTGATAATGATGTCAAAGACAGGCATCGAAACCGATCGCCTACTTATATGACATAAGGATTACTTTGACGTAAATAAAGTAATTTAACCTCTTGTAATATTATTTGAGAAGTAATCCGGAAGGCAAAAACACAAAATGAAGTCTATATCAATTTAAGAAGCCTACACTAGGAAGAATCCCAGTAAATTTATTACAAAAAGTAACCATAAAAATCAAATTGTGTTAGCACATTTGTCTAGTATTTACAAATAATTTGCAGTATGATGTTCGTTGAAATCACACAGGAAATCATAAATAAAAATCCAGATATATTTTTACATTAAATGCATTTATTTACAAAAATACAAATAAACATCAAAACAGATATTTCTTGCAAATCCTTAAGAAACTGTGGAAACAAAATTTATAAAAGCATTTAGTTTAGTTAGGCTAATTAGGAAATATACTATCATCCTTGATTTTATCTATCTATAGTCATCACCCAAGATATCACAAATTTTAGTCAAAAAATTACATTGAAAAGTTTAATGTTTGGAAAATCTGATACACCAGCAAAATATTTATGCAAACTTGAATATTGAATCTTGGTGTAAAAAAACTTCACAGAACACGACTTTACAGACGACAACAGATCCACAACTGTGTCTTTTTTAGTCTCATAATGCATTTAAACATGAATTATTTAAATATCCTGAACACAACAGTTTTACTATATTGTACTGGTACCTTTAAATGCTGCAGCCAAAAACCGAAACATTGCAATATTTCTCCAAGCAAACTTGTGATGTGGGACCAGCCACATCACAAGTTTGCATTATTATACAGACACAGACAGCCTTTAAAACTATATTTATTTTTACTTGACCTCAGTCTAGTGATGGGCGATACGGACGCGTATCGCGATACAGCGATACGATACGTATCGGAAAAAAATATCGTATCGCCATATTGAATCGGGCGTCTGTATTGCGATACGTGAATCGTATCGTCAAAAATATCGAAAAACGATACGTATCGTATCGTTTTCCCCCTCCCCTACCTAACCTAGAAACGGCAAATTTATATAAGTACCTGGGGACCAAGCTTTGCTCGGGGAAAATCATTAGTTTACTCTGAAAACAGTCTTAGTATTGCAGATACATTAATCCATTTCCACACTCCACACTGCTCGCCTTTACTACTTCCTTCACAACTCCCTACGTCTTGGACCTGTTTCCCTATCCTTCCCATAGTATTTTAGGATTGCAGATACATTAGTGTAATTGCCACAGACAGTTCCCACCACGACCGCCTTAAACTGTTCCCACACTTTGCACTGCTAGTGCTAGATAGCACGCTAGTGGAAATGGACTGGACTGGGATGGGACTGGTACATTATCAAATAAAAATCAAAAATACAGACGTCAAAAACTCCTATTTCAAACTACACATCCACAGAGTACAGATTTTGCAGTTTGCTCGGCCTGCGCAAAAAAAGCTTAAAAATATCGTTTTGACATGAATTGTATCGCTCTATGTGCCGATATAAATACAAATATCGTTTTAGGCGATACGATACGTATTGTTTTTCAAATAATTGTATCGTCCCTCGCGTATCGCGATATTCCGATACGATACGATACGTATCGCACATCACTACCTCAGTCAATAAGAGCATAGTTTTCCATACACATTGACCACTAGATAAGGGTTATGTAAGGACAAAGTGCAGGATAATATGATGCAGAATATAAGGTCTATGTAAGGTGTTTATGAAAATAAACAAGAAAACAAGTGTAAATCGACAAATAAAACTGAACAGTGATCAATAAATACTAAAAAATAAATCTCTAATCATTCAAAATTTATAACAATCTTATAAACATAATATTGTGCAATAAGTTAATAAATACAAACCACTTGCATATACAGAGCACTTTTTGAAACTTCAACATTTCCCTACAACTAGGAAAGCAAGAGTTAGTTAAAACTATGTTTTTCAGCATGGGTGACAAAGAGATTTTTTTACATAGACTTGTAAAACAAATTACAAATATAAAATAAACCATCGTCTTCAGTCTCTATTCTCTACACAGGACCATTGCCTTTTGGATGCTGGTGTAGTCATCATCTAAATGAACCTGTAGCTTTATTTTTTTTCAAAAAGAACACAGTTGAATGACTTAGTGCGCTGCTATCACATTTGTATTATTTATTTCTAGGGATGGACGGGATTGAATTTTTAGTTCGGGACGGGACGGGACGGGATTTTTATTTCCCTCCCGATTTTCGGGACGGGACGGGACGGGATTTTTTTCTGTGCATAAAAAGAAAGTACTGTATTGCAGTTACCAAAAAAAGACATACGAAATCAATTTTTAGCATTTGTGGCACTGATCTATAAAAACCAAAAAATGGGTAACAATTTACAGGTACCTATAGTAACTTGTGACTCGCGGGTCACGGGGTGATCGTCTGTATGACTCACGGTCACGGCGAGATCGTCGTCATGACTCGCGGTCACGGCGCGATCGTCGGTATGACTCGCGGTCACGGCGCGATCGTCGGTATGACTCGCGATCACAACGCGATCGTCATCATGACTCGCGGTCACGGCGCGATCGTCGGTATGACTCCGCAAGCACGAGGTAATCGTCGGTATGACTCGCGGTCACGGCGCGATCGTCGGTATGACTCCGCAAGCACGAGGTTATCGTCGGTATGACTCGCGGTCACGGCATGATCGTCGGTATGACTCGCGAACACGGCGCGATCGTCGTCATGACTCGCGGTCACGGCGCGATCGTCGGTATGACTCGCGGTCACAGCGCGATCGTCATCATGACTCGCGGTCACGGCACGATCGTCGGAATGACTCGCGGTCACAGCGCGATCGTCGGTATGACTCCGCGGTCACGGGGTTATCGTCGGTATGACTCGCGGTCACGGCGCGATCGTCGATATGACTCGCGATCACGGCTCGATCGTCGGTATGACTCGCGGTCACAGCGCGATCGCCGTCACGACTCGCGGTCACGGCGCGATCGTCGGTATGACTCGCGGTCACGGCGCGATCGTCGGTATGACTCGCGATCACGGCTCGATCGTCAGCATGACTCCGCGGTCACGGCGCTATCGTCGTCATGACTCGCGGTCACGGCGCGATCGTCGTCATGACTCGCGGTCACGGCGCGATCGTAGTCATGACTCGCGGTCACGGCGCGATCGTCGTCATGACTCGCGGTCACGGCGCGATCGTCGTCATGACTCGCGGTCACGGCGCGATCGTCGTCATGACTCGCGGTCACGGCGCGATCGTCGTCATGACTCGCGGTCACGGCGCGATCGTCGTCATGACTCGCGGTCACGGCGCGATCGTCGTCATGACTCGCGGTCACGGCGCGATCGTCGGTATGACTTCGTCTCCTGCGTTCGCGGACCTATCGCTCGCAATAACGGCGTTATCGGCACTCGCGAAGGGGAAAAATTGCCGACAATCGGACCAAATCCCGTCCCGAAAAATTCCCGAGTCAAATGTAATCCCGTCCCGATAATCGGGAATATTTTTTTCCCGAAAAATTCCCGAAATTTCGGGACCTGTCCATCCCTATTTATTTCTTTGAATTTAACTGGGTTAACAAGTTTACTGAATCATAAACTTTCAGTATGAATCAGTAATCAACTTCAGCGCACTCTGTGAATGTATTCAACTATATTCATTTTTATTTTAAAACTACCTACACCTGCATGAAAATAGAGTGTATACTTTTACCAAAGATACGATTTACAACTCAAACCCCCAGAAACAAGACAAATTGACGTATGCAGGACATTTTGACCAATCGGAAGCCGCAACCATCAATGCTGAATAACATAGTTTATAAAACACATTAGTTGCTACAGTGCTATCTATGAGGCAATGGTGAGGTGGAAGGTAGGGGGGCGAACACCTTCTTCAGGTCGAGGCGCAGTTTTTTTCAGATGACCAACGACGGTCCGTTCTGGTGGCTGAGACGGTTGTGTAGCAGACTGCACCAGTCAGGAACACTAGACGAGCTCAGACTCGAGTAACCCTCCCTTGTCAGGGACCTCATGGTGATCATATCTGTAGCTCCGTACAACGCTCCTACATCAGACACTAGGGTTAGATAAACAATCCGTTGCAGCATTGTGGAATGATAGTAATTTTGCGATTGACTAAAACCTGAAAATATGCATTTTGAACAAACTGGAAAGCTACTACAGTGTAGAACCTCGATAGTTCGACACTTTGTGGACTTAAGGGATGTCCAACTATAGGGAGTAAATGGAGTTTAATATTAATATACAGGAAAGTAAGAACACAATCCTTATAGAAAACACCCAAATTTTTTTTTGTCCTAGGACGCTAGGCACGAGCCTGGGATTGTTTTTCACATTACTTCACGCTAGACCTAGGGGTTACGGCATTATCACTTAGATAAAATCCATTGGTGACTTGGCGAGGATCGAACCCGGGACCTCAGGGACTGAAGTCCCGCCCTCTAACCACTACACCAGCTCGCTCCCCGTAACCCAAATTTATTAAATACTAAAAAGCTTAACAATTTCACTGTTCATTAGTTAAGTCTCAAGTCAACAATAAATGACAAATTAATGTTCAAGTCAGCTTACATCACAAGTAACCATTAAAATATATCACTTGGCAAAATAGCTCAGCCCGTGTCGAACTATCAAAGGTTTACTGTATTTAGAAAAACATATTTTGTACCCTATTCTGAATCGTTTCTTCGGCTACTGGAAGGAGTCTGATTGTCAAAAAGGGTGGAAAAAAGGTAGAATGGTAGTAGATGAAGTAAAGAACACATTGCTCTTTTTGTATTTTAACTAACTTGCTTGGCCATTATATGGGTGACAACACACACATATATTCTTTTTAATTTTGATATTCTGTTTACTAATGCTCCACACATAACCTGTGGCCTTCAATAGATTAAATTTATTTTTCGTCATACTACAGCAAAAACAGCCGTTTTTAATGCATGCATTGCAGGTCTAAAGTAGCATTTTAAATCTCTAGGGAGCAAAAATCATTTTTAGTCTCCGGTGAGTAAAAATCAGCTGTTGTAAACAGTAGTAGATTTCGATTGTGGCAATCGTATGGATCGAAATTATTTATCGATTGATTTATTAGGTAAGGTGTTATTTTTATCCTATTGTTGTTGAACCTTGGCTTTATGTCTACCCCAATTTTTGAAGAATAAACACTTTTTGCTGTCTAGACGATCCCCATAAAATAAGTCCGTAATCTATATAATTAATACGCTACATGAAACTTTGTCGGTTGAACTCCTCCGCCATTTCTTAACCGATTTTATCCATTGACGTCTCATTGGAAAGAGCAGTCGCGTAGATTTGCAAACTGGCCTTACATTTATGAAAAAGTCCCTTAAGCTCTGCCCCAGTGGCTTTGAAAATTCCCATGTTATCCTTATGGAGAACTTAACTGTTTACATTTTGATCAGCTGCATAATTAAATTGCTGTTGTTTATATTTCAATTCAATGAAACGCATTGAGTACATTTATTTACTATTTGAGTTTGTGTAAACATAACCCCCAAGACGGACCGTGTTAGTATGGTTGTATCTTAAATTTGTGTATTTAACTTTGTTTTGTGTTGCTATGACGGATCGTGTTAGCATGATTGTAACTTAAATTTGTGCATTCATCGTTGTTTTGTGTAGCTATAATTTGTTTATTTGTTGTTTCTTTTAAATTACTCCAATGTGACAACGAAACATAGACAGGAGGCGTAATCGTGATAACGATCGCAGCTACAGAACAGTGGCGCGTAATAGGTGGTAATAGGCTTAACTCATCACAGTCAGCACCTGACCCTGGACAATCTCAACTATTAGGTTACAAATGCGCCCTAAACTATCCCAAAACGACTTTTCCTTCTCAATTGGCCCTCTATCAATGACATGTGTTGCGCATTTTGAGAAGGAGAAAACCGGCCGGAATGCCTTAGGTTTATCAATAACGAAGATAAACATGGTCTGAGTTAACACACCGGTAATCTTTGAGTTGGCTCTTTTAAACTCATTGTAAATATGATGTTATTCTTTTTGAAACAACTCCTGTAATACTTTACAATTGCTCGAATTCGAGCAACATGTACACTAGTTCATAATTGAAGCGAAATAAGCATAATAGGCTACTGCAATTTGTGTAAGTACAGTATGTGAACTAAATTGTATTAAGTTCTGAAGACTAGCGCTATTTTAAATTCAGACAAAGATCTCCTCAAGTGTCCACAAGAGGAAGTGACTAAAAAATGAAAACAATACCTGCACTTTGATAATTTCAATTTCCAAAATGGTAAACAAACCTCCAAGCCATGCGATATAGTTTTCCACCCCTGGAGGATTGTGGAACTTAAAGGTGGTGATTTTCAGTTTGTCCTTGTACTCAGGGGATTGTAGCAACAGCTTCAGCTCTGACTGAAGTCTAGCCTTGAACCCAGCAGCTATCACAGAACCTCCCACTAACACTATGTTCTCTGCCAGTGGTCGCCTCATGTCTATGGAACTCTGCAAGTAGTCACAGAGTCAATGTTTAGGTCACGTCTAACATGCACAGTAAAATGATCAAACTCTTTCATTTCAAAAATGTGTTCTTTCTTTCTTTGTTACAGTCTTCACAACTGAAATTTTGTAAGGAAAAATCAAAACCAGGGGAAAGTGGTCAAAATCAATTTTTGTGAATATGCCGAGGAAATACCGAGGAACAGGACGCTAACCGAAAGAGCTCTGCCAAATGAACTTGACACTCTGTAGAAGTGAGACGAAAATGCTTTGTTTAGGTGGGAAATGGGTTGACAAACCCAATCCTTGTAGGTGTTTTAGTACAAACTATCATTAAAAACAATAAATGTGTGTGTTTTGCAATTATGTTTCTAACAAGGGAATTTAATTGTTTAAATTTTAATGCAAAACAAAATCGCTATACTTAACAATTACTTTGCTGCAAAGAGGAGCAAAAGAGTGTTGTTATTTACGTTTCAGTGTATTTCCCCTGCAGGAATAAGCTATTACAGCAGATATCATGAGACCTGGGACTGATTTACTTTTTTGTTTTTAAGTCCCCAGAGGCCAAAAACACCATAATTTATGTTTTATTAAAAAAAGTTTAAATATCTACTACCAAGCGATCCATTAAAAAAGATAAAAAAATTTAATGGATTGCTTTATAGTTTATAGCAGGTATTTGAACCTTTTAAAATATTATTTGGCAATCCGGAGGCTAACATCTATAATTAAGGCCTTAGTATTTAGAATGGGAAGCGGCCATGTTCAAAGTTACAGCGCTTCTGCATAGTAGCCTGTACCAGTTGGTCATTGTATTACCAGTCTCTGTAAACAGAATCGGCAGATAAGCAATCTACTGTAATTTCTTTACTCTCCTTATGGATAACGGGTAACATAGAAGAATAATGCTGATCCATCCATTGTGAGGGTAAAATATTCTACCTTGACGATGGCGTCCAGGATCATGTTGGGTAGAGACAGCTGATCGTTGTCTCGTTCAAACAAAACCTCATGACAAGCTTCTCTCACTGGCCCTGGTACTGTGATGTTATGATCTCCGTCTATTGGGTACCTACAGTAAAGTGATGACAGTTAATTTTGTAGCTCCTGGACTTTATAAACCTTATGACAAAAGAGTTCTGTCTGTAGTTGGAATTTTCAATGACTAATTATGACTAGTTTCATTGCAAACTCCACATTTTCAAAATTTTATGACTAGTTTCATTGCAAACTCCACATTTTCAAAATTTACAACTTGTCAAAACATAATTTAGAAGATACAACTATGTATACTTACTTATAAAGATTCTTGTCTATGGCTATGAATTATTAATACAGTAAAATTCATTCTATAAGTGACATTAATCATTGCTTCAAAATCTTACATTGTTTTAGGAAAGGGAGGAAACTGGACACACTTGAGACATACAAAATATACACATCGAATGAAAGAAGTTACAAACCAAGTGTTCAGAGACATTATTTGCACACTCACAGGACATCAGGGACAGAAGGTTCTGGCTGTTTATCCTCCCAGTATAGCACCCCTCTCTCTTGTTTGGTGACAAACGACGTTCGCACTTGTAACAAATGCAACACATTAGCTAATTATATTCAATTTAAAACCTAATTTTGTATATCAGTAAGCAATAGTTTCAGTAGGTACAAGTTGTATGTCTAATAACTCCTTGATTCACATTTTACGCTTAAAGACGTCTTCCAACACTACCCTCTTATATGATAAAATTGCAATCATCTGAATCAATTTTGGCCGTACTGTTTTCAGATAATCAGTAATAGGTTATTTTATTTTCACCAAAATTTGGAGCATTTGATGAAAAATAATTCACTTTTGATAACATACTGTAAGCATTTTTAGTTAATAGTAACTAGTGGAACCCCGTCAAAATCGACGGTTAATCTTGAGGTTTTATGTAAATTCAGCTAACTGCGATAGATAGAGTGAAGTCATTAAAATCTTAGTTAAATGAAGGGAGGATAAGCATAATAATAAGTATGACGATTGTGTTCCCTAAAAATCGTGATTGTTGAATTCGTTTAACACAATATTTCCTACCTTTTTATCGGCTTTAGGTTGCCCAAAAGGTTTTTTAGGAGTCTTTTTAAATTGTTTGTTCATGAGTTTATTTCATGTTGAAGCCACTTTCACTATATGGGAGAATGAGTTCATATAATTAGTCTATCATGTTACGGAAAGAGTCAATATTTATTACTAACAACTAATTCCATCTGCTTTAGAAAAATCATTCAGATTGTATCCAGATTTATAAGTAAATCTTCATCTTTGGTCATAAAAATACAGAATTTTATCAGCATTTAAATAAGTTTTTTTTTTTTGTATTCGATAAAAATATCTGATTCTCCAGATAGCTGTAACATTCTTACTTCAATCCAAGCAATTTTAATTCCTTCTCTTGCCACATCGACCCATGTATTTAATCATCCTGTTCTTACTTGATAATTCATTAACTTATGGGGTAGCCTAGTTTTGCCTGGCCATATCGACCACATAAAGCTGTGCATGTTTTTCGTGGATGGAATGAACCATAATTGTAGGAAATTTGATCACAAATCTTGAACATTTGCGGAACCAAATCCATAACCTAGTCCAGCCTTGATAACAAATTATGCAAATGCGATGAGATGTGATGACACTGTTATGTTTCCGAATGTTTTGTATGTAGTGAGGTTTAGGATGAATTGTTCAACCTAGCTACATGTGTACATCAAAGTAAAAACCCTGTGGGCCTCACTTTTTTTAAATACCTGAATTGACATTAGTTCACCTACTTCACCAAAACCATAGATGAAACATACTCCGTAGTTAGTCTATTCCAAAACTTGAACACAGCTCTCATCCTCAACGTAAGTTACTCATCTATGACACAATTTTCAACCCGATTATCGAAAACTTTCATACCAATAAATGAATTTCTGGTGTTCTTTCTTGAATTTCAACCTTACAATATATATAAGATAACCCGATAAGGAATAATTATATGTTCCTTTGAAAATGATATGTCACACTTATTTCATAATTTAAAATTTTCTAAGAGCAATAAAGCATAGATTTTTGAACAAAACATTTAAAACGAATCATAAATTCATCATTTTGTAGAAACTATAAAAAACTTGCCATGCAGTGGAGAATCAATTTAAAATCATAAATAACTAGTGGAACCCCGTCGAAATCGACGGTTAATCTTGAGGTTTTATGTAAATTCAGCTAACTGCGATAGATAGAGTGAAGTCATTAAAATCTTAGTCAAATGAAGGGAGGATAAGCATAATAATAAGTATGACGATTGTGTTCCCTAAAAAATGTGATTGTTGAATTCGTTTAACACAATATTTCCTACCTTTTTATCGGCTTTATGTTGCCCAAAAGGTTTTTTAGGAGTCGTTATAATTGTTTGTTCATGAGTTTGTTTCATGTCAAAGCCACTTTCACTATCTGGGAGAATGAGTTCATATAATTAGTCTATCATGTTACAGAAAGAGTCAATATTTATTACTAACAACTAATTCCAACTGCTTTAGAAAAATCATTCAGATTGTATCCAGATTTATAAGTAAATCTTCATCTTTAGTCATAAAAATACAGAATTTTATCATCATTTAAATAAGTTTTTTCTGTATTTGATAAAAATATCTGATTCTCCAGATAGCAGTAACATTCTTACTTCAATCCAAGCAATTTTAATTCCTTCTCTTGCCACATCGACCCATGTATTTAATCATCCTGTTCTTACTTGATAATTCATTAACTTATGGGGTAGCCTAGTTTTGCCTGGCCATATCGACCACATAAAGCTGTGCATGTTTTTCGTGGATGGAATGAACCATAATTGTAGGAAATTTGATCACAAATCTTGAACATTTGTGGAACCAAATGCATAACCTAGTCCAGCCTTGGTAACAAATTATGCAAATGCAATGAGATGTGATGACACTGTTGTGTTTCCGAATGTGTTGTATGTAGTGAGGTTTAGATGCGTTGTTCAACCTAGCTACATGTGTACATCAAAGTAAAAACCCTGTAGGCCTGCACATTTTTAAAAAAATACCTGAATTGACATTAGTTCACCTACTTCACCAAAACCATAGATGAAACATACTCCGTAGTTAGTCTATTCCAAAACTTGAACACAGCTCTCATCCTCAATGCAAGTTACTCATCTATGACACAATTTTCCACCCGATTATCGAAAACTTTCATACCAATAAATGAATTTGTGGTGTTCTCTCTTGAATTGAAAAATAAATGGTGATTGAAAGTAGGAAAAAAAAGGCAAGTGCCAACCTTACAATACATAAGCTAACCCGATAAGGAATAATTATATGTTCCTTTGAAAATGATATGTCACACTTATTTCATAATTTAACATTTTCTAAGAGCAATAATGCATAGATTTTTGAACAAAACATTTAAAACGTATCATAAATTCATCATTTTGTTGAAACTATAAAAAACTTACCATGCAGTGGAGAATCATTTTAAAATCATAAATAATAATGTAAACATTTAATTTTGACAGTTTCAGTAGACCTTTGAATACAATTTTAATATTAACAGCTGGTTCATTAAAAGTAGTGTAAAATTATCCATATGATCATAATGTAAACAAAATTGCAGAGTGAACTTTAAAGGCCTATGGGGCAGAGCCCCAAGGAAATTTACCTCTTTTCTATTTTGAGGGCTGTCTTTCAGACCAATACCTGTCTTTAGACACCCCTACCAAGTTTCTACACCCAGCCGTTCTCTCAAATTAGCTGTGACAAAAACTCTGTTTTCCTCCATAAGAATAACATGGGATGGGACTTTAAAGGCCACTGGGGCAGAGCCCCGAGGGAATTTACCACGTTTCTCTTTTGATGGCTCATCTACAGACCAAGACCTTTCTTTAGACACCCCTACCGAGTTTCTACGCCCAGCCATTCTCTCAAAATAGCTATGACAAAGAAAAACAGTTTCAAATTAATATATAGATAGTGAATAAAAAAATATAACGCTTTTACAGACACATAGTACTACACCTATTCTAAGTTATTTACGTTGTTTCGTAGATCTGGGTCAAGTGTTAGAGTGTATTGGAAGGGGTGAAACAATCGAGTTTGAGCCGAACTCACTACCATAGTATTATCACAACCGCAGAAGGTCTGCAGATATTTTGTGATTGAAAAGTTCACCTGCTTTGATTGCTGATGACCATGATTTGGACAGTAGAACATAAAGCTGGGTTTTCCTAGGCGCGGAAGCGGAGAGCGGAGAGAGGAACGCGGAGAGCGGAATTGAAATTAACATGGCATTCCGCTCCGCTTCTAGGAAAACAGTAACATTAAATTGCCTAAGACAAGTGGAGTCCGCTCTCCGCGTTCCTCTCTCCGCTCGCCGACTATGGTAGAACGCTCTGTTAGAGGATCATTCAACCATGGGATTTTAAAAAAATGGGATTTTAATGAAATATATGTTGCAGCAGCTGGTCCAGGGGATGCCTACTTCAGTGTCCAAAGGTCAATGTAGACATAACAGATGTTTTAAAATATAAATAACAGTTTTATATCTGGAAGGTTTAAACTAATTACCAAAGTGCTAAAACCTACAGACAAAGATACCTTTTATATCTTCAATAACTGAGTCAGGTAGATTGTTGGCCTGCTGGGACTTCCTGATGGATTCACCACTATCCTGCTTCTCATACCATTCTACCAAGGTCTTCTTAAGTCTCCTGAAGAACAGACTAAAATTGTTAGAATGGTTGCTACTACAATCAATTTTCCAAACTTCAAAGCCATGCTTATATTCACATGCAGATGAGCAAATTCTGACCTATACTAATTACACTTTTCTACTTAATTTATTCAATTAAATTATCTAAAAGCACAGTCTAGTCGATAGTGAGTTTGGGATTTAAATTTGCTTAGGACCAGTGAAGTGAATAGTTATTCCTTTGATTTTGGACACTGTGTTGTTTTTTTATTAGTCCTAGTTGTGTTATTCAAATACAGTAACAAGAAAAATGCCTTATCGTCAGGCCCAACCTGTACTAAGATTTGAGGTCTATACGTACTGCTCTATGGCGGCACCTGCCAGAGGTTGCGCCTGCCACGTTCGCAGAACAGGGACGCCTTCATACACGGGTACCACCTGCGCCTCACTGTGTCCTACATCTACCACCAGACCTGTGTCTATGGCCAGTGTCGCCAACACAACCAAGTGCGAGGGCACCAGCAACATCGAACACACCTGCATAACCAAACGTTGCTTACAGCTATAACTGATGTTTGTCAATTTAACACATCTTTACAAAAAGGGAACACATACATATGAATTGTGGTATGGCTTTCGGCTTTCGAATCACTATGATTTAACAATAAAAAAGGTTAAATTACATTGTGCATTACCATAGTACCCTAAATTGTAGTCAAAACTACCATATCGTCAAAGCACCAGATCTCAGGATGTTTTCCATAGGCAACAGTGTCCTATCCTCAATCTTCAGAGTAGCCTACACGATTCCACGCCTCATGAAGCCGGGAAATGAGTTCGGTCCTACATTTGACTTATTTTTTCCCAATCATATTGTGCTTCAGGATAGATACATCCCGAACAATCTGCTAACAAGACCAGGAATAGTTCACCAAACTCTTCTGGACCATATTCTACATTTTCCTTGAGCTTATTTATTAAACTTCATTGTTGTCAGTTTTGAAGCCAGTTTAAATTAGAGTCAAAGGAAAAAAATCTAAAATGTAACACTTATTAGTTATGAACCAATATTAAAACTTCAATACACAGCGTGGTAAGTTTACCTCAAAATGTTGGAACAAGACTTTTGCCAGAGTATCTCTTACGACAGTCGGACACAGGACTGACTCGACCACAACCACACGTCGCTCCTTCGGACTCAGCTGTACATGCCTGCAAACATAAACTCCTCCATATTGTTTACCTTTAACCTTATTCCTTATTTGCATACCCTTCTTTCAAATCCTAGAACACTAGGCTTAGACCTGTCATACTATATTTCATTTCAGGCTAATCCTAGAGGATTGCAGCATTATCAGATAGAAAAAGCCTTTAACGATTGGACGAATTTGAACAAGGGGGCCTAGGCGACTGAGGCCGCACTCTTTTCCTCTAGACCAGCTCTTCCACTTATACTAAGAGCGATGATTGACAATATCAGATAGCCCTGACTTAATCCCACTAACGAGTATGTTCCTGCTCGTCGACCAGCAATGTTGGTATAGTGTAGTAGGCCTACAACATGTATTTATTTATACGTTGTTTATTTCAAATCTTGTATGTTTTGAGGATTTAGACCTATGGCATTATAAGTTTTATAAGTATTGCACACAACACCTGTTTTGCTTCTTATGAAGAGGAGGACACAGATTTTTCTTTTAGCGAATTTCCCATATAGGGAATAAGCTATTACCGTAGTACTCATGGTAAGACCTGGACCCGGGACCGATTTATTTTTTCGTTTTGAGGTCCCTAGAGGCCAAAAACACCATCCGTTCAAATTCATATATATATATATATATATATGTGTCCGTCAGCACGATAACTCGAGCAAAAATGATCCGATTTTGATGAAATTTGGTACAAACGTGTAAACCTACATTTATTCGATCAAGTTCGCGAACCAGCATGATCGGACTATGGGAACGGGGGTTTATGGGGGGTTTTATGGGGTAAAAATAGGTTTTTCCCATTTTTGACCCTAAAAACACAAAATTTTACAATTTATTTCCAAACCATTTTGTAAAGCTTAAAAAAACAAATAATTTAGTATATTGAAGCGTTATTGTGCGCCTAATGGTTACAGAGAAAATTCCAAAAAATTGTAAATTTAAAATCCCTATGTTATTCTTATGGAGAATAAGTCAACTGTTGTAGTTTACTTGTTTATGAACATGTTTTGATCTAATTTGGAAAATACATTTATTTCTTACTAAACTATTAACATAAAAAAAACCACCTTTTTACTCTCCCTGTTGCAGCAAACCTAAGTACTCGTTAAACTAATTCTATTTAAATAGGGAATAAATATGATATTTTAAAGGAGGCATTTTAATGTGAAATCCTATCAGGCTAATGGAAATTCGCTTAGTCTGCAGGTTTGCTGCGGCGGGGGTATTTAATCTAACCACCAAATTTCTGTCAAGGAGGGGGTTGCTTACTCTCTGTTTGACAGGGCTAAGAGCATATGCTCCAATCAGGATGAGTTGAAGGATGAAATAAAGAAAGTAGAACAGGATTTGGCTAGTAACGGATACCCTCGATCCATTATAAACGAATGCAAGCAAGAAAGATAGGGCTACGCGTGAACCTTTACAAAATCACAAGGAAAAGCTCGTCCACATGTCAATCCCGTATGTGTTAGGGCTATCGGAAAAAATCAGAAGGGTTGCTAGGAAATTTAATGTGCAGCGTTTTAGGACACAAAACACACTTAGGCAGAGTCTCTGCGGCACTGTACATCGCTCGGTCATTTTGTTGGTTTTACTTTTCCAGGTACCAGACACCATTTCTGTTGTCTCAGTGTTTCCGATTGGTCGGCCATGTTGCTTCAGTCTCATTGGTGAAGTCATTGCAAACGGTGTTATTAGTGTTCCATTGTGTGAGCTGTTCACACTACCCCTTTTTATAGACTGTAGTGTTTTGTGATTGGTTATTATTTACATGTCGTATCATGACTTGACTGCCATACAGTGCATATTTTTTTACTGCTACCCTCTGTAGTGTATTAGGTTGGGCGTTTGTGTATTGTTAGTTGTAATGTGTTAGTTAAGTTTTTTCACCTGATGACTGGATCAGATTCCAGATCCCAAAACGTTGTGTATTGTTTTTCACCATCGTGATGGAAAATGTCCCCAATAAACCTTTGAACAACATTAACTCACCATCACCAACAATGGACTTAAAACAAAGTTTCTTACTTTCTAAACAGCCCTCCTATACTGTATTAATTCTAGGTGAAATACAGTCTCTATTTTTTACAGACATAAAATTATGTATGACATTTAAAACAGTTCTGTGTAAGTCAGACACTTCAGGGGTCTGACTTAGGGGAGGTATGATTGAGGCATTAGTTGAAAATTCCTCCGTGAACAGCGCTGTAGTAGAGAGCACTTTGGCAATGAAGGTTTACTAATCGCAAAAATAGTTCTGTTCATAAAATAAAATTATAAATGCCTAAAATTCAATTTTATAATTTTTTTTTTATAAAATTAAACTATCATAACCTAACCGAACTAACCAAACTTGCTGATAATGAAATAATATAACAAAAGTTTAGTAATAGAAAAAATAATTCTGTTTATTAAATAAAACTAGAAATTGCTCAATTAAGTTTATAATGACTTAATAATAAAATTAAACTGTCATAACCAAACCAAACCAACCAAACTTGCTGATAATAAAAAATCTTGGACAAAAAGTTAATGCTACCAGCGGGATTCGAACCCGGGACCTTCAGCATATCAGCCTGGAACGCTAACCATTAGACCACCGAGGCCGATGGCTACAGATCATTTTGTTACGGTAATGGCGTACCCTTAGCTAATAAGAAGCCCACAGCTGTCATCGTAGCCTCTTCCATACCTCCCCTGAGTAAATACACTTCAGGAATCTTCTTTCATATGATCTTTGCTTCCAATTTTATTGTGTTGTAGGCCTAAATAAATGTAAACAGAAATAGGTTTCAATAAAAATACCCCCGCCGCAGCAAACCTACCGTCTAAGCAAATTTCCATTTGGCCGAATTGATTTTCAATTGATCTATTTAAATAACATTAGGTTTAACGAGTACCTAGGTTTGCTGCTACAAGGAAACTAATAAAGTAGTGTGTTTTTAGTAAAATATTGATAGCTTACTATAAAATAAATAAATTTGCCAAGTTTGATCAAAATATATCCATAAACAAGCAAACTACAACATTTTACAATATTCTCCATAAGAATAACGTGGGAATTTTAAATTTACCATTTTTTTAGTTTTCTCCGTAACCAATAATCGTACAAAAACACTTTGATATACTGAATTGTTTTTTTTTTTTTTTTAAGCTCTTTAAGAAGGTTTGGAGAAAAATTGGGAAATTTTGTGTTTTGAGGGTAAGAAGTGAGAAAAACCAATTTTTACCCCATAAAACCCTTTTCCCATGGTCCGATCATGCTGGATCGCAAACTCATTCAAGTTTATCCTGCCTTACACCTACAAACCAAATTTCATCAAAAACGGATAAAAATTACTCAAGTTATCGTGTTCACGGACACATATATATATATGTATAAATCTATATATATACATATATAAAAATTTGAACGAATGGTGTTTTTGGCCTCTGGGGACATTAAAATGAAAAAGTAAATCGGTCCCGGGCCTAAGTCTTACCATGAGACCTACGGTAATAGCTACTTCCCTATAGGGAAATTCGCTAAAAAAGGATTTATTTAAGACAAACTTAAGTCTACTGGTTTATAAACTCAATCAAAATTCTAATTTTACAGTCCTCTAATTTTTTTTGTAAAATCTATATATTAAATGTTTTAGAAAAAAAAAAAAAAAAATCAAAATGTTATAACTTAACAGAAACAATGCCTTGAGGTTCTCCAGTATTAACCCTTGTAGGCACATTTCAATTTCATAATTAGTACAGTACTCACTTGTAGAAAAGAATGTGCAAAAAGTCCACAAGGAGTGCATAAAGATCTTCTTTGTCTGTGAAGCTCATAACTTGTCTGAGAGTTCCTGTTTTCGAACTTTTAACTTCCGACCGCACAATACATCTTGGGCAAGCCTCCCCAGCAAAACCAAATCTGTAAGGATGAATTAAATTCCTCCAATGAGACTGGACAGTTAGAACCTAAATTATATGTCACATTGCATCTTCATTGCATTGTCTAAGCCACAATATGATTGCTATGAGAAAAGGTTCTTTGCTGAAGATCCACAAATCACTTATGTTATAAATAATTAAGTACCGGTATGCCTAGCATCATTTTCAAACCTCTGGGGACATCAAAATGGAAAAGTAAATCGGTCCCGAGCTCAAGTCTTACCATTAGACCTACCGTACGGTAATAGCTACGGTACTTCCCTATAGGGAAATTCGCTAAAAGCTGATTGAAAATGTTTGTTTAAAGTTGAAATGAAATATAATATTTTAAATTATTTATTTCACTGCTAAATAAAAGTTTGCTAACAATAAGCTTAAATTGCCTCAGTAGGCTACTTGGGGTATTAAGTTTTGGTGGGAGACAGCTCAGTATTTGACCAAAACTATTTTCTCCCATATCGAGTACCTAATCTTCAGTGTAATCTTTGCTCAATAGTTACAACCACGAATACTAGAATAATACCGGTATGGACCATAAACATAAACAAATTCTATTCAACAAATTCTTATTGTTGTCCTGAATAGCTAGCATGTTTTGGCAGTTCCATTTAAGCAATGCTAAATCATGTTTATTTTCGGGCCAAAACGTCATTTGTGTATGTTTATGATCCATACCGTATCTAACTCATTGGAATCAAATTGTTCAACAAACTGCCCTTGGAAATTCAAAGTATTTCTGACAATGCATTTAACAGTAAATTATATGTTTGGCTTCAAAGTAGGCCTTTATACCACAACAATGAATTTTTTATTTAGATATAAGAGGCTGTGATTTTTAAATTAGGTAGAGATTATTATTGACTCTTGTGTATTTATGACTATCTATTGTTTCCCTTCAACTGGCACAGCGACTATAATAGTCGCGGTAGTCGGTGTCTGTAGTGGCACAGACTATAATGGTTGCATTTT